CTCATCTTATGTCTACCCCTTACCTCCACCAAACTCTTTGGAGCCTGTGTGACATTAGGACATTTCCCTGAGACTTTAGCAAAGATTTACTTACTTCCCTCAGGATCCTGGGAGGTACTGGTGTAAGGAAGTTTGCTGTACAGAGACACAGAACAGAGACTTACTCTACTCTCTTAAGGTCATGAGATAGGTATTGCATCCTAAATATTAGAGGATGAGAAGAATGGACTGAGAGTGGCTTCTCAACTAGAGAAGGAGAAAGCCTGATATTTGTCTTTACTTCCTCACATGTTAGCTTTCTGTAAGAAGGAAGGGGGGTACATTCTAACTGATCTTTACTACTGACAACACTCCTAGAGTTCTGGAACAAACAATTCATGCTCTGACACCTAAGGGCTTCATCATCCTTCTGGTGCTGCATCTTCAAAGGTAGCAGTGTCCAGGTGTAGGGGTCTCTTCTCTGATCTCTGGAGTTTTCTGCAGCATTAAGCACCCCAGAATCCTCCTACTAGTAGTGTTCCTCCTTTTAGCTCTCAGGACATCACAGTGGTCTTTTCTCTCTGTCTTTCAGTCGCCTCCCTATGTCTCTCTTATAATTCCTTGTCCTATAAATAGATCTGTTTTACTAACCTCAGCTGACATCCCATAACCTGCACATCCCATTATCACCTTAAATTCTGCTTCTCTCTCTCTTTTCCCTCACTGGCATAGACTTATATGATTGATTCTCATGTGAATACAAAAACAGGAGAACTTCCCTATGAAAGCCTCACCCCCGATCTGGTAACATTCCAACTTAAGGGGGAATGCATAGCAAATTCAGACAAGAAGGAAAGGCCACTTGGACCATTTAACTTGTTAAAATAGAACATTTTCAAAGCAGGAAGGATGTAGAAAAGGAGTACACTTATTATAGAGGCAAAGTATGTAGCTCAAAAGATATAGTCAATATCATAATTTTATATTTCGAAAACATATTGTGTCTATTCAACAATGAATCTTACAATTGTTATTAAGTCGTTATTATTTTTTTTAAAGATTTATTTATTTATTCATACAGAACTGGGGTACAGGCCAGAGGCTCAGGGGCGGTGAGAGGCTTCACCAGAGACAGAGTG